GTGTGTGTGTGTGTGTGTGTGTGTGTGTGTGTGTGTGTACGTGTACCACTTGTAATAAACTTTCCTGTGTTTGCATGTGTTGAGTTCCAGCTCTTGGCCCTCTCCATAACAATTTGGCGAGGTTTAGCTTGGCTGTACTTAATAAAACCATGTACGGATTCAGCTTACTAATACAATAAAAGCTTTTTCAATGGTTTCTCTGGCTCATGTGCGTGGTGAGTTTCATTTCTCGCCCCTGCCTCTGAACCTTCCGTGGGAAATACTTCTCATGTCGTGACTCTATCCCCTCACGATTTCTCTTTTTCCAGTATCTAATACCAGGCTGATGGTGAACTACTGTACTCTAGATTCGTTATGTTCTCTGCAAAATATCGGTTCAGTGCTGGTGCTGCATACTCAAGGATTGGTCATAAGTTCGTGGCGATATAGCGATTTGCAGTTTTTTTCCGGTTTCCAATAGTCATTTTTTTGTTTGCTGGTCCCGGGTTTGTGTACGACGCTGATAGGTATCACTTTACCAGCTTCATGGAAAAAATTAGATGTGCAAGCAAATGAGTTTGTGTTTTTTTAGTGTAATTATTATTTGTAGTTGCCTTTTGAGCTTCCAGTGACTAACGAGACTTTGCATTATAATGACTAACGAGATTTTACATTAAAATGACTAATGAGACTTAGCAGTATAATGACTGACGAGACTACAGTATGATGACTGACGAGACTTTACAGTATGATGACTGACGAGACTTTACAGTATGATGACTGACGAGACTTTACAGTATGATGACTGACGAGACTTTACAGTATAATGACTCAGGAGACTTGGTAGTATTACACTTTTTCTCGAGCACTTTAGTTGCAGCTCGTAAGGTAACGTTGTTTACTTTATTCCACTTTTCTTCAAGGGGCAATAAACGTGCCTGGGTAAGGGCTTTTGATTGAAGGACTTGGAGATACTCTCCCCTTTCTCGGATCAAACCTGGTTTCCTCGCTTTCCACGTGTGCTGTGTGACCCTTACCCCTCAAGGAAGGTTCCTTGATGTTGGTGAGGGGCTCTTGATTTAGGGAATTGGATCTGTGCTCCAGTTCCCCAAATTAAGCCTGAATGCCTTCCACATCCCCCCCCAGGCGCTGTATAATCCTCCGGGTTTAGCGCTTCCCCCTTGATTGTAATAATAATAATGTGTGACCCTTACGCGTTTAGCGGTTCTTTATGGATAATAATTACCACCGTTTAACTACTCTTATGCTGTAATATTTTCTGATGTTCTCGTGGCTCTGATGGATTTCTTGATGTTTCTATATGTGGCCTCTTGTTGATGTTTCTATATGTGGCCTCTTGTTGATGTTTCTATATGTGGCCTCTTGTTGATGTTTTTATATGTGGCCTCTTGTTGATGTTTTTATATGTGGCCTCTTGTTGATGTTTTT